CTCCAGATTGAAAATGAGGGGGTGAGAACCAGTTATCATGTTAATGGACATCAAAAGAAGCTGGAGTAGCAATCCTCATCTCAGACAAAATAAATTTTAAACCAAAGACTATAGTAAGGGATGAAGGGGAATACTATATCATGCCTAAAAGGTTTTTCCAACAAGAAGGTCTAATAATTATAAATATTTATGCTCCTAACTTGGGAGCAGTTATATAAACCAATTAATAACCAAATTAAAGAAACACATTGATAATAATACAAAATAGTAGGGGAATTTTAACACTCCACTCACAGCAATGGACAGATTGTCTAAGCAGAAAATCAACAAGGAAACAAGGGCTTTTAATGACACACTGGACCAGATGGACTTCACAGATATATACAGAGCACTCCATCCTAAAGTAACAGAATACACATTCTTCTTGAGTGCACATGGAACATTCTCCAGAATAGATCACATACTGAGTCACAAATCAGGTCTCAACCAGTACCAAAAATTGGAATTATTCCATGCATATTTTCAGACCACAATGCTTTGAAACTTGAACTCAATCACAAGAGGAAATTTGGAAGGAACTCAAATACTTGGAGGTTAAAGAGTATCCTACTAAAGAATGAATGGGTCAACCAGGAAATTAAAGAAGAATTTTAAAAATTCATGGAAACAAATGAAAATGAAAACACAGCTGGTCAAAACCTTTGGGATACAGCAAAGGCGGTCCTAAGAGGGAAGTACATAGCAATACAAGCCTGTCTCAAGAAACTGGAAAAGTCTCAAATACACAAGCTAACCTTCCACCTAAAGGAGCTGGAGAAAAAATAGCAATAAAGCCTAAACCAAGCAAGAGATGAGAAATATTAAAGATTAGAACAGAAACCAATGAAATAGAAACTAAAAGAACAGTAGAACAGATCAACGAAATGAGAAGCTGGTTCTTTGAAAGCACTAATAAGATCGATAAACCCCTAGCCAGACTTATCGAAGAGAAAAGAGAGAGGACCCAAATTAATAAAATCATGAATGAAAGAGGAGAGATCACAACCAACACAAAGGAAATACAAACAATTTTAAGAATATATTATGCACAACTATATGCCAACAAATTAGGCAATCTGGAAGAAATTGATACATTCCTAGAAACAGTTTCTAGGAAACTGAAACAGGAAAAAACAGGAAACCTGAACAGACCCATAACCAGTAACAAAATTGAAGCAGTAATAAAAAATCTCCCAACAAACAAGAGTCCAGGGCTGGATGGCTTCACAAGGGATCTACCAAACATTTAAGGAAGAACTAATTCTATTCTTTTGAAGCTGTTTCAAAAAATAGAAATGGAGGGAAAACTTCCAAACTTGTCCTATTAGGCCACTATTACCAGACAAAGACCCCACCAAAAAGGAGAATTATGGACCAATATCCCTGATGACATGGATGCCAAAATTCTCACCGAGATACTAGCCCATAAGATTCAACAGTACATTAAAAGGATCATTCACCATGACCAAGTGGGATTTATTCCTGGGTTGCAAGGGTGGTTCAACATTCACAAATCAATCAATGTGATACATCACATTAATAAGAGAAAGGACAAGAACCATATGATCCTCTCAATTGATGCAGAAAAAAGCATTTGACAAAATACTGCATTCTTTCTTAATTAAAACCCTCCACAATGTAGAGATAGAGGGAACATACCTCAATATCATAAAAGCCATATATGAAAGGCCCCAGTAAATATCATTCTCAATGGGGAAAAACAGAGCTTTTCCCCTAAGGTCAGGAAGGTGACAGGGATGCCCACTCTTACCACTGTTGTTCACCATAGTAACAAAAGGTCTAGCCTCAGCGATCAGACAACAAAAAGAGATAAAAGGCATTCAAATTGGCAAAAAAGTCAAACTCACTCTTCGCAGATTACATGATACTTTATGTGGAAAATGCAAAAGACTCCACCCTAAAATTGCTAGAATTCATACAGAAATTCAGCAAATGGCAGGATTTAAAATCAGTGCACAGAAATCAGTTACATTTCTATACACTAACAATGAGACAGAAGAAAGAGAAATTAAGAAATCGATCCCATTTACAATTGCACCAAAAACCATAAGATACCTATGAATAAACCTAATCAAAGAGGTAAAGTATCTGTACTCTAAAAACTATAGAACACTTATTAGGGAACTTGAGGAAGACACAAAGAAATGGGAAAACGTACCATGCTCATGGATTGGAAGAATAAATATTGTTCAAATGTCTGTGCTACCCAGAGCAATCTACACATTCAATGCCATCCCTATCAAAATGCCATCAACATTTTTCACAGAGCTGGAACAAATGATCCTAAAATTTGTCTGGAACCAGAAAAGACTCCGAATAGCCAGAGGAATGTTGAAAAGAAAATCAAAGCTGGTGGCATCACAATGCCGGACTTCAAGCTTTATTACAAAGCTGTAATGATCAAGACAGTATGGTACTGGCACAAAAACAGACACATAGATCAATGGAACAGAAAAGAGAGCCCAGAAATGGACCCTCAACTCTATGGTCAACTAATCTTTGACAAAGCAGGAAAGAATATCCAATGGAAAAAGGACAGTCTCTTCAACAAATGGTGTTGGGAAAATTGGATAGCCACATGTAGAAGAATGAAACTGGACTATTTTCTTGCACCAATCACAAAGATAAGCTCAAAATGGATGAAAGACCTAAATGTGAGACAGGAATCCATCAAAATTCTAGAGGAGAACACAGGCAGCAACCTTTTTGACCTTGGCCACAGTGACTTGCTAGACACGTCTTCAAAGGCAAGGGAAACAAAAGCAAAAATGAATTATTGGGACTTCATCAAGATAAAAAGGAAACAGTCAACATAACTAAAAGGCAACCTATGGAATGGGAGAAGATATTTGCAAATGACATATCAGATAAAGGGCTAGAATCCAAGATCTATAAAGATATTATTTAGTGCAACACCCAAAAGACAAGTAATCCAGTTAAGAAACGGGCAGAAGACATGAATAGACATTTTTCCAAAGAAGACATATAGATGGCGAACAGGCATATGAAAAGATGCTCAACATCACTCATCATCAAGGAAATACAAATCAAAACCACACCTGTCAGAATAGCTAAAATTAACAACACAGGAAACAAATGTTGGTGAGGATGGGGGAGAAGGGGAACCCTCTTACACTGTTGGTAGGAATCTAGTCTGGTATAGCCACTCTGGAAAACAGTATGGAGATTCCTCAAGAAGTTAAAAATAGAACTACCCTATGACCCAGCAATTGCACTACTGGGTATTTATCCAAAGGATACAAACATAGTGATTCAAAGGAGCACATGCACCCCAATGTTTATAGCAGCACTGTCCAAAGTAACCAAAATACAGAAAGAGCAAATTACATATCAGATAAAGGACTAGTATCCAAGATCTATAAAGAACTTATTTAGCTCAACACCCAAAAGACAAGTAATCCACTTAAAAAACAGGCAGAAGACATGAATAGACATTTTTCCAAAGAAGACATACAGATGGCCAACAGACATATGAAATATCTTCTCAAAGATGAATGGATAAAGAAGATGTGTATATATATACATTGGAATATTACTCAGCCATCAAAAAGAATGAAATCTTGCCACTTGCAATGATGTGGTTGGAATTAGAGGGCATTATGCTAAGTGAAATAAGTCAGTCAGAGAAAGACAAATACCATATGATTTCACTTACATGTGGAATTTAAGAAAAAAACAGATGAACATAGGGGAAGGGAAAGAAAAATAAAAGAAGATGAAGGCAGACAGGGAGGCAAACCATAAGAAACTCTTTTAACTGTAGGGAACAAACTGAGGGTTGCCGGAGGGGAGAGGGGTGGGGGGATGGGGTAACTGGGTGATGGGCATTAAGGAGTGCACGTGATGTAATGAGCACTGAGTGTTCTATGCAACGGATGAATCACAAAATTCTACCCCTGTAACTCTGTGTTAACTAAGTTGAATTTAAATAAAAAAATTTTTTTAAAGTTAATTTCCAGTTCCAGTTTCACAAGCATGATTCATAGACTTCTTCATTTAGTGAGTTTATATGGCACAGCGCAAGTGGATTCTCCGATTCAATAATGAGCCTAAATGGGGGCACCTGCGTGGCTCAGTCATTAAGCGGCTGCCTTCAGCTCAGGTTATGATCCCAGGGTCCTGGGATCGAGCCCCGCATCGGGCTCCCTGCTCGGCGGGAAGCCTGCTTCTCCCTCTCCCACCCCCCACTTGTGTTCCCTTTCTCACTGTGTCTCTCTGTCAAATAAATAAAATCTTTAAAAAAAAATGAGCCTAAATAGCGTATTCTCCCCCAAATTGTTATCACACTTCTGATCTTACAGTGGCCTCCACTTTCTCTTCACACTCAGTTCCAAGGTGGTGATCTAGTCTAAGGAGCAGTTATCCTTCAATGCAGCCCTCAATGCAGCCCTCCTGGGGCCGAATTGCCTTGAGTCCTATCTCAGAAAATGGGCAGCCATGCAAACAAAATCAAAACAGACAGAAAGCACTGCTTGACCTGACATCTTAAAGGAATAAAAACCCAATTACATTTTCATGGAAGTATCCATGAAACCACCAAAGAAAGATTCTAATCAAAACATACGGCAAAACTCAAAAATCCTCTTTCCCTCTAAATACCTGTGATAGCATTGTAGCTGCCTCTCCCACCATCATTTTTTCTCCTCCTTATCTCCAAACAGCCCCAAACTCTCTAAAAGCCCAGCCCCTTGCCCTTTGTCTCTCTCATTTTGCCCTCACTTCTTCACGTGGTGCCTCCAGTTTCTCCCCACCTATTTCTCTCATCAACACAACCATAGGCCACACCTGTTTTATTCCCAAGGGGCTTTCTTAGAAGCCATGGAGGGAAGGTGGCTATGGCCATTCAGAAATTGATTTTTTGTCCCAATTCTGTGATAAAATTTATGTTTCATCGTAGTGATCCCTCTCCTATGTTACAGAATGCAGAACTATCTCAATGGGACAAGGACAAGAGGTACATGCTAGAAAGCTGATTCAGATGTCCATGCAGCAGGTAGGTAGCGAGACCAGCTAGTGCTAGTGCATCATTCTTCCTATTAGCATTCTGGCCATCAGGTCTACCTTGGACCGCCACAGTGGTGGCTGAAGCATTCTGCCTCGTATGCTCCATCATCAGTTTTCCATTACTTTAATGGATGCATAGTTAACCTTTGATTACCAGTGAATATTAAACCTCAAGCTGGTTTGCTCCTGATATCCCCACAGAAAGCTTGTTTTATTTTCCATAGTATAATCTCCATCTTATTTTCACTAAATATATATATATATATATATATATATATATATTAGGCAGACACACTCCCTGGTTTCTAAGAATGTAACTCTACCTGGAATTTCACAATCAATATTAATAGTGCTTAAGAAGTGACAGACCAAGACAGTTAAATTTCATTTTTTGGTTAAAGTCAGACTTCTTTTTTTTTCATTAATGGGTAGTTTCACACAAATAAGAAATATTTGAGGATGTTATGCTTAAATATTGATAATGGTTTTTATTGAAAATTGCAAGCTAGATGGAATGCTGAGAAATGTTTTCCATCACACCTAATAAATACACAGAACATTAATTTTCTAGAGATGCTTGGTAGATAGCAATTTCAGCTGTGATAAGAAATCGCACCACTTATAAAAACAAAGTAAGATCTCAGTTTATTTTTAAGCTTTTGATCTCATACGGTCTGTAGCAGCTTTGGTGCAGTTTTTCCTTGGGAATTAATGACCAGAGAGGGTTAATGAGCTAAGTCTCTGCTTGGTCCATCAAATTTTCAAGTTAGTCATTAATTTTCAAGTGCCTGAAGCCTTTATCTTTATCACTTAATTATATTCAATATATAACAATAATATATTGTTATCTAATTTATATATATCAAGGCAATTACATACTATTATTTTTACTCAGATCAAATGATTCACTCCATTGAGTGATTTGACAGTTTAACTTTGGACCTTAAATAATTTCTTTAGTTTCCACGAATGAAAAACTTTTAAATTTCAGTACCTCATTCACACTAACTTTCTTTGGAATATTAGCTTTTATAAGTTCCATGTTCTGTTTCTTAAGGTGGGATAAATATTGATAATAATGACATTATGAGGGGAAAAAATAAAACCAACAGCCCAGGAATAGGTGCAGCCACTTTGCCACGTGAGGGACACCAGATTTAGAATGAAGCTGACATTGTTGAACAAAATGGAGAACGAGCGGGTAGCTGGATCCATGATGGCACCAACTAATTTAACTGTGAGATCCATCCTCCTCTGCCACCCCAGTTGTCTAGGCCAACATGTCCGCTTTGCTCTTTAAGCCAGTCTGAGTTGTATTTTCTCTCACAGTAGAAGGCATAAAACACAAACCGTGTATTTACTGTGCTCAGTATTTTGTAGCTGTATTGATCTGATCTCGTTAATATAAGGGTATCAAAATGTTGTCTGGTTAAACTATGTTCTCATAGAACAGTGATGGTTCTGTGACTTATATATTGCTAAAGATAGCTTTATCAAGTATTAAAATAGTGCTTAGTAAGTTTTGTGGTTTCGAGTCTATATGGGAAGAGTGATGACAAAGAGTAAGGTTTAGTATTCTGGTAGCCCAGGTCACCAAATGTATTGTCTCCAACTTTCAGGAGATAATGTGCATCTCTTCTTTGTGTCTATGGATGATTTGGCTTGGGGGTGAGTCAGTTCTGATTCACTTTAGGATGAGCTTTTACAAATTCCAAAATACCCATTCCCACCATTAGATGGTGCACGTGCCATACTTACACAAGACTTCAAGTTCTTAATTTGTTTCCTTCTGAACCAGAGACAGCAGAGTACAATTGTTTTGATTGTACTTGATTCCAGTCTTACCAGTAGCAGAAGAAATGTTTGTATTGACGTGTAGTCATTTCATTAAAATCAGGTGCTCAAAACAGAGTATTTACATGCCCTAAGCAAAGGTGGGTTTTTTTTTTTTTAAATTATACATTTTGTTTTTTTTTAAATCATGGCGAAAAAATTACAAGAAATTAATATGAAATCATTTTTGAATACAGGGTGGCTGGGTATTACTGCAAAATTGTCACCTTGGCCTAGAATTCATGGAAGAATTGCTAGAGACATTAATCACCACTGAAGCCAATGATGACTCCTTCCGAGTGTGGATAACTACTGAGCCCCATGATCGATTTCCAATTACATTGCTTCAGGTTTGTTACTGTGACATAAGTGTCTTTTCCTCAAGAGTTATTTGAATAAAGATGGCATAGTGACATTACTGAAAGATGAAAACATGACAGGGTTTTCGATCCAGCAGAGTCTGCAAGATCTTATAATTGTCAAGGTCTTGACTATAATCATCAATATTATATAGCAAATATTTCTGCAGAAGAGTTCTAAGACTCAGTCCTAATTTATGGGGTTTCAGCTATGATTGATGTCATTAGTTTAGAATTTCCACTGACATTTTATGTACCATACGCACACTGTTATCTGAAGTATTGTCATTTCTACTTTATCCTTTATAATAATTTACAGAAACAAAACTAGTGTTTGCTTTTTACGACAGACTTCTCTCAAATTCACTAATGAGCCACCACAAGGCATACGCGCAGGTTTGAAAAGAACATTTGCCGGAATTAATCAAGACCTTCTGGATATCAGTAATTTACCCATGTGGAAGCCGATGCTTTACACAGTAGCGTTTTTACACTCCACCGTGCAGGTAACTTCCAGGCGCAGTTTGCACATTTAAGGGGACGTTAATGATGCCCTGTTGTTTCTCTGCTGCACTATCTGCTCTCCTTGCCCTGCTTTTTTCCTCCTTCATGGGACTTCGCCACACCTGGCTTGGTATATATTCGTCTGTGTACTTAACATGTCCCTTGTCCCCGCCCCTTGCCCTGGCCATGAGAGTGTAAGACTCTTGAAGACAAAGACTTTGTCTTTTGTGTAACTGCTGAATCCCCTCCAGCATGGCAGCATCTGGGGCATTGCCAGAGCTCAGTAAATATTTGTGAGGTGAACATGGATTATTTAGATAGGAATTTGGTTTTCAAAGTGCCTGGACCAGCCAGGAATGGTATGAACACCATCTCATAAGGGTTGTGAATATTATATGAGATGGTGTTCATACCATTCCTGGCCGGTCCATATATACAATGGAATATTACTCAGCCATCAGAAAGTATGAATACCCAACTTGTACATCAACATGGATGGAACTGGAGGAGATGATGCTAAGTGAGATAAGTCAAGCAGAGAAAGTCAATTATCATATGGTTTCACTTATTTGTGGAACATCAGGAATAGCATGGAGGACATTAGGAGAAGGAAGGGAAAAATGAAGGGGGGGGAATTGGAGGGAGAGATGAACCATGAGAGACTGTGGACTCTGAGAAACAAACAGGGTTTTAGAGGGGAGGGGGGTGAAGGGAGGGGCTAGCCCGGTGATGGGTATTGAGGAGGGCATGTACTGCATGGAGCACTGGGTGTTATACAAAAACAGTGGATCGTGGATCACCACATCAAAAACTAATGATGTATTGTATGGTGACTAACATAACATAATAAAATTTTTTTAAAAATGAGGAAATTGATAAGATGTCCAGATGAATAAATAAATGAATGAAGATGGTAGTACTTTTAAGTAGACACTAAAACAGGAGCATCAACTATATACTAAATGCTTTTCATAGATTATTTAACCAGTCTGACTCCAAAGCCTCTGGTTTTCCTCAAACTCTCAGGAATTTACTATCCCTTGGACTGTCTCAAATAATAGGAGAATTTTTTTAAACTAGACGCAGGGACAACAGAGCCCCAGTCCCACTATGGGTCCATCCCCCCATCTCTTCAGTGTGTGAAAATAAATTAATTGCACCTCAGGAAAAATAAAATAAAATAAAAATGAGGAAATTGAGGCTCAGAGAGTTTAAGTTCATTGGTGGTAGATCTACGGGTCAAGCCTGACACTCCTGCCTCACACGGAAGTATGTTTTGAGCCCACCAGTGAAGGTGGTGCTGATATTGGGAGGACAGTGGTTATCTGTCATTTCCAGGTTGTTTGTGATTTGCTTTTACCATACACTTATATATTAATGTAGTAATTTTGTGGCTCCACAGCCACTTGTCTATGGGATATTTTCATTTTGTTGTTGCTCTGTTCTACATTTGATTTTATATTTTGGTCTGTATTTCAAAGCTGTATAAATTTAACGTACTTGATTCACTCCTTGACTTCAGAGAGAGAGATGGACAGGCTCCTTTAACCCTTTCCACATTTTTTCCTTCACTGAGGCTGGAGTGAGAAAGGAATGAATGATGTGGCTTGTGCCAGGAGCCATGGTTTAGCTATGCACAGGGGCCGGAGAGCCTCCCCTCCTCTCTCCCAACCCTGCCCAAAGGTGGAGGGGAATTTGGTGCTCATCTCAGAACATCCTGGGCATATTTATCCTCAGGTTCCTTGTCCCTGCCACTCTACCAGGATCCCTGCTGCCCAGTGGGGAGGGCTGTGTAGAGAAGACAATTGTGCATCTCCTCCCTATTGGTCCCCTAACCTTGAGAGAGTTAAAATCAGGTTAAACACTTTGTGGGTGGTTCTTTTTGCTAAGTCCGATTGTGGCCTTTGGATTGTAAATTATAGCTTTCGAGTCACTGAAGCCTATTTCATACATTCTTATCTGGGAATTGTTTGCTTTGCTAGGCCTTATCATACTCTAATACAAATATTACTTTAACTCTGTTATTTAATTCCCAATTCACAAATAATAATATTTTATGATTCTGTTCCCAGTAGTGATGATTCAACTCTTCCACTGGGCTTATCATGGGGAGATGATTGGGGTATTTTCCATATGGTCAGTGCAGCAAGCTGTGTTTTTGTGGCCATTATCCAAGTGCTACACAGAAGGACAACAGGACCATGGGCCAGTCATGGGGCTAAGGTGTGCTTACACTTGACAGGACGTGTATTTGGGTTCAAACAGAAGAAGTCTCCATTGCTAGGGCCGTGAAGCTAGGAGATTGAATGTCTAGGAGGTTAAATCCAGTCATAGTGTGCTGGAAAGAGCACCTCATTGAGGACCAGGAGGCTGGGACATTAGACTCGCCATGAAATCAATTAGCTGTGTGAGGATCGTCAAGTTATGTCCCTCTTGGGACCTCTGTTTCCCCATCTGTGTATTTAGAGGCAGAAGGAGGTGAGCCTTCAAGTTTTTCGCATTTCTAAAACCCTGTTATTAAGTTCAATGACTACCCAGGGAGCATAGATAATTCAAGCATGGCTTCCTCTGTCCTGTTTCCATCATTAGCAGAAATATTTACTGTGATAGTGCCTAAATATTTTCTTTTACTTGTTAGGATAGAGCTGGCTTGAAAGGAAAATGCAGCATTCTTGAGGGGCCTGTGGTCCTGGGCCAGCAGCTTCTACATGGCCCGGGAGCTTGTAAGAACTGTGTCTCAGGCCCCACTTCAGACCTGCTGAATCAGAATCTGCATTGTAATAAGATGCCCAAGTGACTCATGTGTGTATTAAAGTTTAAAGTGCAGCCATTACTAGAAGGACAATTCTGGGTTGGATTGATTGTGACTTAGATTTCTCTAGTGTTGGACATAATAGCCAAACACTTGATTTGTTAGCTGATTGATCGATTCCTCCAAATTTAACCTAGATATTGCTTGCTCTATACAAATATGAGGTATATGCATTTGTCCTTGTATAGATGGACAAAAAAAACAGGGAATTGGTTCATGTCACATAATCTGAAGCTTCAGGCCTGGGGAGGTGTTCATGCTGGAGTCCATCACCCCTCAGGATACAGAACCTGATAGTGAAATAGAGGTCAAATGTGAGAGCTGTGTGACCCCCATGTAGTTCGCTTACTGAATTGTGGTTTGGCCTCATGCCATCAACTTATCCCTGCTCAAGGGCATCATGTGCTTTGTGAACCTCACTCATTGTTACAGAGAACAAAATGAACACCTTCCCCCCTCCCCCCATAAGAAGGGGAAGTAGACTTGGCTGGTCAAGGACAAGTGTCTTGGGTGGTATAGTGAAGGGTGTGGTTTGTTTTGTGGTTGAGATAGGAACAGACTTACCCAGTAGAAGCGGGCCCTGGGTGCTTCCCTGGGAACCTGCAGAGATACACAAGCCAATTCTGCACCAAGTTCTTCTTGCCCCAGACTTCCTTGGGCTTCCCTCCCCTCTCCACCAGGAACTTACCATCCACAGAGGCCAGGAAGTTACTGCAGCAACAGCACTCTTACTGCAATTGGGTGATGTCTCTGCCCTAGCTAGCCAGCCCTCCTGCCCTCCCCATGGGAGACCACCACCATCCCCAGCATCCTAGTAGATGCCTTGGCTCCATTTGGCCACTAATCCCTGAGGACATTTCCACATCCTCTTGGAGATTACTCTCAGTGGGATCTGCCCTCTGGCCTTAACATCATTTCTCTCTGGTTTCCCAGAAATTCCAGTGCAGCATCATTCTGGGTTTCAGAGCAAGGCTACATTCATCCTTCAGAATCTTAATTTTAAATGTATCTTCCTCCAAAGTCTTGGTCTTTTGAAACTCAATAATTACATTGTGGTGTCCTCCCAATACCTCCTGCAGAAAGTCAGAATAGCATTTTCTGGTGGTCAGTGTACCATCCTTTGATGGTCAATGTACCATCCTTTGTTTGAACAGTACATTGGACCCAGTAAATGTCTAATACGATGGTTCTCAGTCATTGCCTGAGCCCCAGAATCCCTGGGAGGAGGCAGCAAGGTGAGGTGTTCAGTCCTTCTAAAAACTTCAAGTGATTCTAATACACAACAGGAATTAAGAATAACTGCCAAATATCCATTGCCCTTAAGACAAGAGTCCTTCATCATTTTTATGTCCTTTCCATGGTCTGGAATTTTTCTCCTCATCACCTTGGCTTGCCAACATTGAGGTGTACTTTTTGGGACTTTTCTAATGGTTTATGCACAAGTCTATGAGGTTTTTTGATAGTCATTGATTAGGAGCTCTCGGGTCTTGCAGTAGCAGTTGTAGACTTGGATATTTTATCCTGGCCCTTAAAGATAATTAAATATTAAATAAAAATGGCCATATCAAACAGGATCCAGGGAATTCCACTGCCAGCAGTTTTTCTTTCCAAAAAGTGTTTTCTTCTCCTATATCTTGTTTTCTTTCTCAAGTGTGAGCCTTGACAAACATTGCCTTCAAGTTTAATAGTGCATATTAAGGTCTTGCTTTGGGAAGGCAAGATTATGAAGTTCTTAGTTTAAATGTCTTCAGAATAATTACAATAATGTCATACAGGTTTAAAGAAAGATCTTTTACATTTTGCTTGATGGTTTTTCCCAGGGGTTCTGGCTATTTCTGTTCATTATTTTTACCTTTTAAAGTTTCCCTTATATTGTGTAATATGAATTGCATTTTTAATTTTATGTTAGTTCCAGTAATTAAACAGGATGTGATGTTCCAAAGAGAGCCTTGTTTTACAGATGCAACTGAAGTGATTCTGTGTTGGGCTATGGGAGGTGGGTTCATTGGGCTGAGGTAGAATCTAACATAAAATTGGAAATGGCTTTGACATCATTAAGATGATGACCTAGTTGAGTAACTTGTCTTCAGCATCCAAAGGAGGATTCCAAATTTTCCATATTTCACTAGCAGTTCTCTGTTTTGCAGATTCTTTGGTATACAAAGAAGGAACCATACTGGTCAAATTCAG